TATGATACTGAAAATAAGAGAGGGAAGGATATTTGTGTTGCCAATTGTCCTTTTAAAGAATAATCCTTTTAGAAGAACCAAATAAGAACTTGGTAAGCCTCCAAATTATAGATTTCCCCAACACCTTTAATCAACGTGAAAAGATCACCGGGCTGTTGCTGAGCCAACATAAATCAGATTCACTCTTTCAAGTAACTTTTGCATGCCGATAGGGAGGAAGAATCAGGATTAGTAAAAATAATTCACTCTTTTCCAGATAGGGAAGGTGCTACCATCATAGAAATCATAGAATTACAGAGTTGGAAGGGACTTTGGAGGTCTTCTAGTCCAACCCACTGTTTGAGCAGGAGACTCTATACCAGTGATGGCGAACCTTTTAGAGACCGAGTGCCCAAAAACTGGCCCCGCCCTGTTCTCACCCCCTGCCCCACTCTGCCCCCCCCCCATCCCTCACCCTGCCTGCCCACAGGACTACTCACTGCCTCCAGGGCCCACCGCAGATCATCCAGGCAGCCCAGCAGTGCTATGGCAGCCACACCCTCTGCCCACGCCCTGCAGCATCAACTGCATGATGGGGTATTAGGTCAGAGTCTTGTCTATGCTGCCTGGCTGCCATGTCCTTGGCTGTGCTGCTCCGTGTGGGCCACTCTCGGGTGTGACTCTCCTTCAGGGGGGCTGCTGGAGAGGAGGGGGTCATGGGGGAAGGCGAGGCACGTGTGCCCACAGAGAGGGCTCCAAGTGCTGCCTCTGGCACCCGTGCCATAGGTTCGCCACCACTGCTCTATACCATTTCAGACAAATGGTTTGTCCAGTCTCTTCTTGATGCCTCCAGTGATGGGGCACCCACAACTTCTGAAGGCAAGCTATTCCGCTGATTAATTGTTCTCATTATTAAGAAAATTCTCCTTAGTTCTAGGTTTCTTCTCCCCTTGAGTAGTTTTCATTCATTGTCTTTCCTTCTGGTGCTTTGGAAAATAAGTTCACCCCCTCCTTCTTTGTGGCAGCCCCTTACGTATTGGAACACTGCTATCATATTATCCCTCGTCCTCCTTTTCACTAGACTAGACATAATCTAATTCCTGCAACTATTCTTCATATGTTTTAACCTCCAACCCCTTAATCCTCTTTGTTGTTCTTCTCTGAACTCTCCATAGTCTCAACATCTTTTTTATATTGTGGTGATTACAACTGGATGGAGTATTCCAAGTGTGGCCGTACTAAGGTTTTGTAAAGCAGTACTAATACTTCACATGATCTTGATTCTATCCCACTATTAATGCAGTCTAAGGTTATATTGGCTTTTTTGGCTGCTGCCCCACACTGTTGGCTCATAGTTAAGTGGTTGTCCAAATCTGGTGATGGCCATGAATTCAGATGGCTTAAGACTGGATTAGACAAAAGTGTGGGGGGGGGAGCTACCATTGCAACTTCAAATTTGGGTCACAGTCATAACTTCGAATGAGGACTATCTGTATAACAGCTAAAACAGGGGTTCTCAACCTTGGCAACTTTAAGACTTGTGGACTTCAACTCCCAGAATTCCTCAGCAAAGCTGGCTGAGGAATTCTGGGAGTTGAAGTCCACAAGTCTTAAAGTTGCCAAGGTTGAGAACCCCTGACTAAAACTAGGTGTGAAAACATTTCATGTTATGCCACTCTTCTTTCACAGTGCAATTCCGTGCATATCTGCTCAGAAGTAAATAACCCTGACTTCAGCAGAGCACTGCAACCTTCAAACGAAAAGGAGAGACTTCCTTTCTCTTTGATGCACCAATATATTAAATGCCTACGTGTGTAGCTTTGAAGGTATGACTAGCTCTGGCCATCATAAATGATTACAATTCAGAAGTCTAATACCAGAACTCTGTATCTTTTTAAGAACTTAAAAACTTAATGGATCCATCCAAATGTCCATCTCCTACAGCAGTCGGTGTCTGAACAGGTGAGTCCAGGAAGGAAAGTTTATAAAAGGGAGACAAGGACAAGAGCTTTCTTCCACTATTATACTTAAGCACCTACTACTAAGGGCAAGCAGTCTTTGGTTCTGGAATTAATTTACTGCTGTTGAGCCTAGCAGCCAAGGGTAGTTAAATTCTCCATGAATTTCTCAGATTTCTTTTTTAAATCATACAAATTAGCAACCCTGAGAGCAGCAAATTATTTATGTTATTGATAGAGGAGAATACTGTAGGTCAGGGTTGAAATGAAAGATCTTTGGTGCTCTCTGAGCTTGGTTTCATTACCCAAACTAGCATCATCAGTGGAATGACATCACTTTGATGATGCTACCTAGTTGGATAATGAAACATATGCAAGAAAACAATCAAGCTCAGGGAGGGTCAAGGACCCTCAAATTGTTTCTGTGTCATGTAAAGACATACTTTTTTTTTTTAATCCTGATTTTTTTTCTGTCTTGAGTTTTGGTGGATGGTTTTATGTTCTACTATATAAGACGGGGGGGGGGGAATCCTTTTTTACTGATCAGTTGTAGTGTTCATGCCTCTATACACCTCTGCTGTATTAACTGCTTTGATCCAAACTGAAAATCTCCAGTCACTCTAGTCTTTCTTTGTAAAAGAGTTGCTCTATTCCTCTCCCCCCCTCCTCAATAATTTGGGTTGTACTTGGGGTTCTGCAATATATTTTCCACTAGAACCCCAGAATGGATGTGCATAAGGAAGGATCTGGAGTACAAAAATCCCCATGACACGATGCAGCAAAGTGTTAGGGGTCACCCTACTTTTCCTGCCTTCCAATAGTCATTTTCCAACACAGTTCTAGTAGCAGTACACGAAGACATAACTACTTTGCCAGTTTTATTTTCACTTCCTTGAAAGATAATTAATTTTCCTTAATGCCATACACTAAGTTGGCCTTTTTCCTTAGAAATGGTTCAATAAAAAATATCCAAAATAATAATGTCATATTATATTGTTTTCATCAAGAAACAGCTACACAAATAGTTATTAGCTCTTCTACTTAGAAACAGCTTCTGGTGTGTTAAGAATCATATGAGTTGGTATTACCAATATTCATTAATACCAATTAATATTGGTAACACCAATTGATTAAACTATTAATACTTTAAATTTTCAGCTAGCTCTAGCTCTACATGTACAGTTGGCACATGACTGACTAAACTGTATTTGCATTTGGCAATGAGACACTGTGCAATAAAATATGTACACACTTACAACATCCGAATACACGATGTGATCCAAAGTATAAAGAAATGTTTATATGGGTAATTTTTGAATTAAAAGTTGTTTTATGAGTAGATAGGGCATTTCACAAAGTATCTGGTTTATTTATTTGGCTAGGATTCAGTAATCATACTGTAACTCTTGCAGGCAATAATTATGTTAGATGTCACAGCACTAAAATATTGTCATGTAGCACCTGGAAACTGGATATATTTAGGGCTAAATTTTCATTCAACTTTTTATTCACTCTCAAATGAGAGTGAGAGAGTGAGTTTTTAATGTCCAGTCTGACAGCCTGCTGCTATGAAGGCAGACTAGGTTTGTACATCACACTAAAACATGATTTACTTAGACACATTTTTTAATTAACCACAATTGGCTGGATTTCCAAAGCACCCTGAATCAAAATCAAACAAATCACATGTTAGTTTAATGCTCTACAACCAATATATTTTCAAAATTGTAAGCTATCCAGAGTCATTGACAGAGATGGGTGGCTACAGAAATTAGATAGACAGACAGATAGACAGACAGACAGGCAGGAAGGCAGATAGATCTCTACATGACAGCAAAGAATTTCTAGTTCTCTATCCCTTTGCTGCTATCTATCGGATGTCTGAATGGTTGGAGCTGAGATTTGGCAAAGCAAAGTAAGGAATCCTCATTTGATATCCTACCACTCCGTTTCCTAAATCCTAGATTATGGTGAAGCTTACTCTTAGAGTAAGGCGAATTCTTCACTTTCTAACTGGGGAGTCCGTAGTAGGAGTTGAGTGGCCAATAAATTCAAATAAACAAAAATTACTAGGATGGAACTGTAGGCTCCTCTTTGCATATCTGGAGGGGAGGATGTAAAGACTTCTCATTAGGTTAAAAGACCCCCGTTCATTCTGGGGGAGGGGGATAAATGAGGCTTTAGCAATGAGAAGGATCGGGGCAGTAATACAGATTTACCTAACCTGATGACTTCTAGATGTTCGGGGCTTCAATTCCCATAATCTTCCCAATCAGGATCTTTTTCTTTTCTTTTTTTAACCGATGCCCGCTGATTTGGTACAGCGGAGTATTTAGAGTCTGCTTCTCTCTCTCTCTCTCTCTCTCTCTCTCTCTCTCTCCCGCCTTTTCTAACAGCAACCTTCACTTACCAAGTTCGGTCCCGACGGAAGCCGGTTGTATCTCACTTATTCTTCGAAACTCGGGGATTGGGGCGATATAGGAACATTTTATTGACCGAAGGGAGAAAGAAAGAAAGAAAAGAAAGAGAAAGAGGGGGGGGAGAGAGAGAGACGGGGGGGGGGCAAGGGTCCTTTGCTTTAATACATAAGGAAAAGTAGATTGATCCCCATGACTCCCACCAAGCCATCTCCTTCTCTCGGTCCCCCGAAGCCCTGCAGAGTCCTCCTCTCCCTCCTCTTCTTTGCAAGGATGCTCCCCCCCCCTCCGTTTTTTTTTTTTCCCTGCCAGACTCCGAGCACCTTTGTCTTTAAGAGGCAGATCCGACAACCCGAGCGGAGGGAGGGGCCAAGAGGCTATCCCGCCTGCGATTGGGCAGCAGGGCCAGTCCTTCCCGAGCCTTCTCCCCCGCCCCCCCCGTACCGCGCCTTCCCCAATAGATTCCTTTCCTCCCCGCGCGCGCAGCCCCCCCCTTTCGAAAGGGCAGTTCCAGTCTAGCGTTGACGTCACCCCGTCTGTCTGCTTCGGTCTCCTCTCTCTCCCTCTCTCTCTCCCATCTGAAACTGAATCTCCTTGGACTTGAATGAGGAGCAGAGGACGGGGGGGCGGGGGAGGAGGAGGAGGAGGAGGGAGGGAGGAACTCACATCTTGCCTGGGCAGGCGAGCGCGAGAGAGGGAGACGGAGAGAGAGAAACAAAGTCGCAAGTCTGGTCCGCTCCGTGTGCGAACTTCTAGGTCTGGAGGGGGAAATGGGGGCCGAGCCGCACCTCTCAGAGCTCCAACCTTCTCTTACCAGCTTCTGATCCGAAGCTAGAGACACACATCTCTCTCCTTCTCTCCCCCCCCCCCCAAACTGAGGAGGGTGCTCTTTTTTAATGTTGGGGTTTTTTTCCCCCCCTCCTTCCTCCGCAAAGGTTTCTCTCTCTGTGTCACTCTCTCTTTTAAAGTCAGTTATATTTGCCTCGGTTTCCTCTCCCGTCTCTCAGCCGTCGTCCCCTCCTCCTGCCAGCGCTCCCGTCTTTATGTCGGGCTTCCCGGAGACCTTTTGAGGTCTCGCCGCTCCTTTTGTTTCTCCTCCTGATTTTTAAATGTATAACTTGATGGGTCTCAACAATACCGGCGGACCTAACCAGCCTAATGTCTCCTGTACTTGTAACTGCAAACGGTCTTTGTTTCAGAGTATGGAGATCAGTAAGTACTTCTTCGATTTATTTTTATTAACCATACGGTTCCTTCCGTTCTCTCTCTCTCTCTCTCTCTCTCTCTCTTTTTTTTTTTTTTTCTCCCTACTTTGGGGAGGGGGGGCGGAATTTGGATCTAGAGCGACCTGGCCGATCGCCTTGCGTGGTTCCCGCCGGGGAAATGCGATCCGGACTTTCCAAGCGCGTTTCACTCCCGCCGTCCCTCTGCTGCAGCTTCGGCCGAGGGGGTTGCTTCTGCGGCTTTTACGCGCAAGAAAACCCTCCGGGCGAACAGTTTTGTCCTTGTGTCAGAGAGTCTGAGACTTGCATGGCTTAGTTCTATTCCGCTCCCCCACTTTTACAACCTTCAGCCTTTTTTCCTCTTGCCATCCACCCCTCTTGCCTCCCACTTCCCTCCCCTTAAAAAGTTGCGTTTCTTGCAATCTGGGGCGCTTCGTTTCCTCTCTCTTGGACAACGTCTTCCCCCGGCAGAAAGCTGCGTGCCGTATCTGCAGTGGTAGCGTTCGCCGCTTTGCAACCAAAGCAGGAAAACCGAGTTGGTTTCGAGCGCGCGACAGAGGGGGAATTCAGCTCGAATCAAATCCTCCCCGCTTGGTTGTGTGTGTTGCCCTTCAGCTTCGCCGGCGGGACTGCAGGAGACGGAAGGCGGGGGGGGAGGCGGGGAGGGGAGAGAGGCGAGCGGAGTCGTTCCATTGATCGGAGCGTTCCGTTCGCGCTCGGGAGACCCAAAGGACCGTGGGAACGCGCCGGGAAGGCTCTCCCGGTCTGGCTGGCTGGCTGGCTGGCTGGGCTGCGCGCCTGGGTCTCCCCTTTAGGAGAGGGAAAAGAGCCGAGGACGAGGGAGGAGGGGACGCGATCCTCCCCAGTGAGTTTGATCGCCCGGGGAACTTTGTTCCCAAGCCAGACGGTAAAACAGCCTGTTCGGGCTATTTAAAGCACACGCTGGAATGGAGGTTCCAGCCAGCGAGCCGGGGAGATCTCGTCTCCCAGGACGAGACGCCGTCTTTTGGGTTTTTATTGTCGCTGCCTTTGGGTTGTTCTTTTTTTTTTTTCCCTCCTAAATTGCCTTCCTGCAATCTGCTGCTCTTCCTGAACTTTGCAGATCGGAGTCCCCTTTCCCTCCAGACCCTTCCCTTCCAGCTGTCCTAAACCGTTTGTATTAATAACTCTTTCAGCCTTCTCGGATATTTTATACACCTCCCACTCTTCTTTTACAACCATGCTTTTTTTACTTTATGGAAAGAGAAGCCCTTCTTTCTGTTTTTGTTTCTGTTTTCCTGGAGCTTTCGACTGATAGGTGACAAAAAAAATCCGTGGAGGTGATGGCTGAAGCCTCCTTCTCCATAGGCAGTATATCTTTGGGCTCCAACAGTAGAACAGGTCTGTGAGTTTGTGAGCTTAGCCGAGCAGTGTTGGGAACAGAGGACTAAGCTGGCTGTTGGTGAATTTTGATCTGATCCAATAGGGTTAGGGGTTGTGCCAAGAGTGCTTTGCTGTGCTCTGTCACAATTCTGGCTCCAGAGTTCTGTAGAAGGATACTTACAACCAGCCCATCATGACATGACAGAATAATTGTTTAGCTATTAAGGCACCTCACCAAGGAGTCTCGTGTATGTGATGAGAATGCAAACTGTTATGTCCAGCAAACCAGAATTTGTGACTATAAATAGTAATCACTCTGTCTGAGAAGTAGATTACAGCTCTGTCTAGCCTGTGGAAAGACTAAGTCAGACAAAGTTAGTCCCCCCCTGTTCCCCCCCCCCGCCAGTGTGTCTGTGCCTGTAATGATAACTAAGCAAATATACTGTCACAGAGTTCCTAATATCTAAAGGAATAACATCAGTTCTCTTTCCTGCCTACATTTGCATTTTATTCTGTCCTGTGGTCATAACAGCTCCAAAAGAGAGAGAGAGAGAGAGGATTGGACCAGAGAAGGGCTTTTTAAACATTTGCTGTTCTGGAGATGGAAAAATTGTTTCAATTTTTAAGGCTTCCATCCTATCCATAACTTAGACCTGAGCTCTGTTGATTACAGTGAGACTTCCTATTTAGTTGGCATGTCTGACTTTGCTTGGTAAGCAAAAAACTGTTCTCCAATTCTTACTTTCTAGCCTGTAATATTATGGACAAAAATTGCCATTCCCTGCCATTTTTAAATTACCCAACACAGTAAAGCATTGGGGAAATGCCCAGAACTGGAATATTTAAAATACTGCATTGTTGTGATGAATTTGGCTGATTGCCTCTTCTGTCTTTTTTTCTTGTAAAGGATCTGCTATTTAAACACAATCGATGTAAAAAAATACACGCAGTACATGGTCATACCCTCCTTATTTATGAGCCTGCCAATGCTCTTGATGTATCTACTACATCACAGATTCCCAGACACAGCAGGCTAATAATTATTGTGGAACAGTGTTGTCTTCTCCCCTCTGTCAGAGATGTTAGTGTACAATTATTTCTTCTTTAAAATCAGCTAATTAAAAATCAATGTCCATGGGAAATGTGCTTGTCCCCTCTAAATATCGCAGCCATTAAAATGAATGTTTCTCCCCTTTCCTGCTTTTACATGGAGTGTCCCTTTTTTTTTTTTTTTTGGCTGCGGGTCTTGACTGTTTACCTACCCAAAGATTCCCAACACAAGACAATATTTTCTTTGCTAATAAAAATACGTATGGAGCTTCTGTCTGTTATGTATTATACCGCCAAATGTTTGCCTCCCTTTTTTTCAGGGCTTGTCTATATATTTTTTTTTTCCTTTCAAATTCATCACCTTTATTTTCAGTTCCTTCCTCTCAGCTAATCAGCTGTAATGATGTTTTGGCTGACACAAGGCAGTCTCGTTAATTTAGTTGTCTGCTCTTTCAAATAGACTTCATTTCTCACTCCTGATGAAGTGATACTCAGGGGATTTCGACTTGCAAGGTTAGCATTAAGAGGAACAACATTCAATATGTAATATACATATAAAATGCATGCATTCTTTAGCTGTCAAGACAGGGAGGAGTGAAATGGGAGAGGGACTCATTTTTGCAAGCTGATTTTGACATAGTCTTCTTTAAAAAATGCTTTTGAATAAATACATTTGCCTGAATCTGTTGCGACTTCTAGATCTATTAATTAGAGTTAGGGAATATGTGCGCTTGTGCTTATGTGTGTTCATGTGCATTATATTTGGGGCTATAGCAAAATCTATTCCACATGTTTGTTTGTTTGTTTTTGAGACCAAACCCTATTCAAATTTCTGGAATCTATTTTCCAAAATTTCCCATTAAAAATGAAAAATGCCGTAAAACTATTTCCCATAGTCTAGTGCCATTCAAATACGTTGAACTATAATGCTTATTGTAACTTTCCATTTAGGAGGGTTGATATGAATTGTATTCCAAGACATAAGATAGGCATAGATTTAGAAAGCCTGCCTTAAAACTCTTTTCACTGCCCAGGTTACAATAAAAGTCACCTTGGAACTACTCCCTATTAAATAGGGTCTAATGAATATCACTGGAGTGCTTTACTCTGTGTATATGGATTAATACCCAAATATCAATTCCAGAAATAATATGCAAATTAGAATATACATGAGTGTCATCATAATGCTGCATCATAGATATCGAAGCTGAACATGAGTGATCGTGTCTTTTGGAATTCTTCTCCCTCTGTAGCTGAGAAATGAACTTAATTTTTTAGTTGATAGGCACTGCAAGAAGGTGGGAATAAGAATATCTCAAAAGCATTCAACCTTCCTTTGAAGGACAAAGTCTTGTAATGACAGACAGCAGGCGTTTCTTATTGGGAACCATTTGTCCTTTTTCCAAATTTTTGCTTGAAACTTGCACTAGGTTTACAGGATCACCTTACATATCCCTTCTTAATGTTGGAAACTAATATGGAAGACTATTGGGAGTTCGTTTAAGATTGACTTTGGGCAAGAAAACAATACAGTATTATGTGTATTAAGTCTAATGAAAAGCTTTGAATTTTGCATGTTTATTCCCAGTAGTATTGGCTGCAACTCAAAAGAAATTGAACTGGAAGTAAGTTTCATTAAACTCATTTCCGATTTACCAGATACGCCTATGCTTGCTTTGGGTCCAGGCACTAAATCACTGCCTTGTAATTTAAGATGATCCCTATTTGAAATGTTAAGCATTATTTGAAATAAACTCCACTTAAAATGTTGACTCTAGTATTTCAGTCTATATGGCTGAAATAGTAAGCTGATATGGCACTTTTTAAAATATGCAATGAGCTTTAAGTCTTCTCTTCATTCTGTTAGATGTTTGAATTTATTTTTTATACTGATTTCCCCCTAGCTTAATTAATTTAGAATTACTTCCACAATAATACTATCAATAATTGCTAAGGTTATTAAAATAATTGTTCTACCTTTAACAGTGGCAGAAAGGTCACCTTAAAGCCACTTATGTTTTGTTCAATAATATGATCTAATGGCTTCAGCAGGTGGCAGGATTGGCTGACCTTATCTGAGCTATGAAGCTAAGCAGAGGTAGGCCAGGCTAATAATTGGATGGGATACTGCCAGACAGTTCCATCCTGGAAGAAGACAATGGCCATGTTCTTCCGTACAATCCCATATTGTAGGCAAGGAAAATGGATGGACATATTGATGCAGTCAACCTCTGTTGAAAGGAGACTTTACAATTTAATAGTGGCATTCACAGAATCCAAATGAGGAAAAACATAGTTGCTGTGTTCAGATAAATACAGTCCCCAAATTAGGGTACAGGATGACAATCTGATTCACACAATATTCTATGATAATGGCAAGGTCCTCACAACATGTTATAGCATGAACTATCCAATCCTTTGCACCACCTGGTCTGTTGTATGAACTCAGTTAATACACAGAATGTTAAGGAATCATTGAACCACATCGGCATTGATAGATATGCATACACATACAGTTAATGAGAGAGAGAGAGAGAGAGAGAGAGGTGGAGGGTGGGGGGCCCAGTTACAGACATA